TTAAGTGATTTTCGCCAAATGTCAAGCCTTTTTTTCTCTCCAATATAAATTTATTCTTGTATAAATGGATGTTAACCCAATAAATATGTTGAATTAATCAATTATTTAGCTTATCTTTATAGATTAATGAATTGTATTTGTGTTTCCATATTTTTTCCACGTTTCCATTGCGTTTTCGAAACGTTTCTGTTTTTTAACTTAGTGAAACGGTACTTCGAAACGAAATTTCGATCCTCGAATACAGGTAGAAAATTGTGTTTCCACGTAAGTAATGAAAGTTTGTAAGATAGAAAACACGTCTGCGTTAGAACGAAGAAAATAGACCCAAGTGAAACGACTATAATCATCAATAAATGTCACAAAGTACCTGTATTAAGCATGAGAAAGAACAGGACTCACACCCCAACCATCAGTATGAATTATCTCAAAACAAGTAGAAGCACAACTACCCTGCAACAGAAAAGGTAAAGTTTTCCTTTACCAAGTTTACAAGCTGCACAATCGAAAGATAGATTAGAGGGAGAAAACTCGTGTCTGACTTAAATAACCCTGTTTCATAAGATGTTTTAAGATAACAGAATTGGGATGTCCCAATTTCTTGTGCCAAACATGGCTAGTATTAGTAACAACAGAAAAACCTAAAGAAATAGAATGAGGAATAGAAAACGATTGGAGAGGAAAAAGATATCCCACTTTTGGCCCCTTCACTATCACCTGCCCCGACGCTTGATCCTGCACACAACAACAATCATGATCAAAATGAAGGGGACAATTATCTTCAACCAATTGGCCGATGTATCAGGAGACACAAAAACATCGGAGAAGCAAGGCCCCAAATTTCCAACAGCAGTGATAGGAAAATACTACCATCGGCTATCTGTATATACTGCTCACCGTCATAATTACGAACACTATGTAGAGCGTTCATCCTGCCAGTCATGTGATTGGAAGCTATAGAGTTAAACAACCAAGGAGAGTGTAGTAGGGTTTTCTTACCTTGGAGACCAAGAGCAGAGAGGGCGGAAACAATCATCTATTTGACCTACTTTGGTGTAAGCGTGGAAGAAATCTGGACAGCGAACTGATCCGAGAGGATGTCACAAAGTTGGACTGAACAACAATATGAAAAGCAGGAGCCGATCGATTCTGAGGTCACACACGACAGTCTTTAATAATATGCCCTTCCCTTTTGCAATAATTGCAGAACTTCTTGAGGCAGTTTTGGCAATGTGCCCATACTCCTTGCAACTGTAGCACTGTGGCGAGGATTTGGATCGTCCTTTGCCCTAGGCAATGTAGGCCACATTGACCATCTCAGTACTCCTAGTGTCTTGATCGATTCCAAGCTATGAGGCGAGACGCTGTTCTTCACTCAAGAGTTCCCCCAAACAGACATCCAAGGATGGTACAGGTTTGCAGTTGATCAACCCAGCTCGCTCGCTTTCAAACTCGGGTTGGAGCTTCATAAAAAATTGATCCCGCTGGCTCTCAAAATGAACCGCTTGGAGTGCACTAAAGCATCTTTAGAGAATGGACCAACCCAGTATAATCACTCCATAAATTAAGAAAACCTGAATAAAATTGTTCAATCGAGAGGTTCCCCAGACGATAGTTGGCAATGTCTAACTCCAATTGAAACTTTTGGGCAGAATTATCTTGATAATAAATTTGCTGAAGGTAATCCCACATCTCCTTAGCAGTAGTGAACCCACGGAGATTGTTAACCATATGGGGTTCAACAGAACTTAGTAGCNTCGGGCCGAATTATCTTGATAATAAATTTGCTGAAGGTAATCCCACATCTCCTTAACAGTAGTGAACCCACGGAGATTGTTAACCATATGGGGTTCAACAGAACTTAGTAGCTAGGAAGCAATTTTGGCGTCCTTGCCTTCCCATGAATTAAGTTCCTTGGGATCAATTGGAGCCGTAGAAGACCCATCCATATGACCCCATAATTCCTTCCCTTTCACAAACATCCTGAACTGGAATTCCCAACCTACGTAATTCTTGCCATTAAAGCAAACAATTGAATTTTTGCCTGACATGATTACGACTGGAAAAATTATGTTAAAAATCAATTTATGTGAACAATTGACTATTCAGAGAAGTGGCTGAAAAACACAACCCAACGCAACAAAGCAAAAGGCCCACCTCAACGTTTGAACACAACCAAAAGGAAGAGAGAGCTGCACGGAAAATTGATAGATTTCCGATAGCCCAACAATTCTGATACCAAAAACTTTCAACAGAAACTGCCGACAGCCCACAAAGAGACCAAACAACCAAGTATGAGCCTTCAAAATTCACACAAAAACTACTGACAAAACCTATAGAGTGGTTTCCAATAGCCTTGATACTTTGAGGAAGAAACCCAACCACGAAACTAAGAACCCAGGCAACCGAGAGGAAAAAAAAAATTTAAACAAGGGGCTTTGATACCATGTTATATGGTTTGAATATCTCTCTTTGTGAGAGTTCCTTCCTTTATATAGAGACTGTTGGGCTAATTACTAGGCTGAAAATCTGCCATTACATCTNTTGAACGCCAGAAGTAGGATTCTTATTCCAAAGCCATAATTTGAGACTAAGGCGTTAGTGTAGCAAACGNTTGGGCTAATTACTAGGCTGAAAATCTGCCATTACATCTGTCTATGCAAGGTAAGTAACTGACCAAATAAAGCTCCTATTATTATAGACATATCTACTGCTCATATACAATATACTTTCTATACATAGCTAGACTAAATAAGGTAGAATATATGCTACCTTAATAGGCTAGGCCAGCACATATCTGCTAACATCACGGTGGGATAAGATCAACTACAACCTACTCTTTGTAGGGCATATTTGTCATGCAACTCCTAACAATATGAATCAGGAGATTCAACGTAGTGCCTTGCCTTGCCAATATGTTGGCTTAATATTTATTTTTGTAAAATCCATTTCAGACAATTTTTTTGTTAGAACTTGAGGATTATTCTCAATATCATTTGACAGAATTAAGTCTGAAGGAACAATTAAGACACAATCAACTTAGGTGATCTAAAAATGTTCAAAGAGATCTATAATTGCACTAGTGAGAAAAAGTGATATGATACATAATAATGGTAATGCTAGGGATACAAGTAGACCAAAATTAATGTTGGCTAAGATTGCAAAGAAGGTATGATAGTTTGTTGTGTAACAGAAGATATAACCATAGTGTTAAGATTGCATTTGTATTTATATTTGTTTAGCATTAGGGGTATTCTAGTCTTTCTATTGTAATAGAGTTTTATATATAGTGTCTTTTGTGTCTAGTTTTTGATTATGATGGAATACTAGAGAAACAAACTTCTTTTGCGCTCTTTTACTTATATCTTTTCTTGTTTGTTAATTTGCTATAAGTTTTCACATAGACGAGGACAATGACAGAGCAAGATTATGACTCTAAATAGTTAGGACAAGGCTTTGCTAGTTTGAGATGGGTATGAAGGATCAATTACTGTTGAGAACTAGGGTATCTATAATTCTCCAAGGACATTTGCTGAAGAAATAGAAGTATAATTTTTGGGGTAAAATAGGGGGAAGCAAAGAAAACAATTGGGAAGAAGAAGAAAAAAAAAAGAGAAAGATACATGTGAGGGATTTGATATTAAACATGACTAAGAGTTGAACGCCAGAAGTAGGATTCTTATTCCAAAGCCATAATTTGAGACTAAGGCGTTAGTGTAGCAAACGGTGCTGGAAATTTGTCTCAAATCTGCACAATATTCATCTTAAACAAAGAGAACAATGGGGAAAGTTAACTATTAGAAGGAGATGCTTGTTGCTACTTTATTTGTAAGTGAACTTGTTCTACATCTCCTCAATAAAGGCAAACGGTAAAAGAGATAAATCGAAATGCCCCAAATTGATGAAACAAATTTCAAAGTTTTGTTTCTTATCAAAAACTTCTTGGGCTGTTGAAAAAAATTTATAGCCACCCAATTCTGTTATACTCAGTATCGAGTGTCGGCGGTATTATCGAGTATAAAAATCACATCTCTCAAGGGATGGGATACTCCATGTTTTTGGGTTCACATTTCCATTTGGGGGTTGGTCTCTTCATTTGCACAATCCATCTTTGTGGAAAATTATAAATGAAAATTGTTGAAAAGTCTAATTCTAGGATCTTTTTGTTAGTAAGTCTAGACAAGGAATTTTTAAATCATTTAGTCCAGCTCAGCTCATTCTTTTGTCCGTCCAAACTAATCTTTCTCCTTTTTTATATTACAATATTACCCCTACTTTGTAAACTTCACAAACTTTCATATACCAAACAATCGATTCAAAAAGTGGAAAACACAGACGCACACAAATGTGTATATATATAACAAAACACATATATGCAGAAAGATAGTGGTTGAGAGTGTTTTTAGTTTATTATTTTTAGATCACTATCTTGAATTCACAAAACCAAACCAATAAGATCATCCAAAATTTGCAGGGCAATATCACTTCGCATTCTCAAAAGATTTAAGATTTTTCATTTTGTACTCTCAAATATTAGATTTCCCACATTACATCATAAATGTATTAAAAGTATTGCAATGTGAATCTTCCGTTAACTTCCGTTGCTTATTCCATAAAAAATCATCCTATTAAAAGTTAACAGCATAAGCAATGAAAACTAACGGAAGGACCGCATTACAATACTTTTAATGCATTTAGGGCACAATGTGAGAAATCTAATCTTTGAAAGAATTCTTAAATCTTTTAGGGTGGAAAGTGCAATTTGCTCAAAATTCGTAAGTCTAAATAAATATCTTTCGCATGTGGGGGTGAAAGATAGTTGAGAGAGAAATAAATTTAAGAATGAGAAAAATGAATTTAACTAATATCCTTAATTAAGGGTATTTTTGTCAAGTTCTGATTTTGTGGACTTTTGACCTTAAAAGTGTGCAGGCTGGACCTAAAGCCCAAAAAATCCCCGAATGTAGACTTTTGACCTTTTCCCAATTATAACTATAATAATGATGGCCATGTTTGCTAACTAGCACTTGTGACTATTTGATAAATAAATTTAACATTTGAGTCTGAATAAATCAATACCTAATGCTGTTTTCTTAACTTGGTGTTACAAATAAAATATAATCCAATTTAGAATATTTTGGATTACAGATTCAAAGGAAGGGGTTGAAGATATGAGAATGTTCTAAATCTATATCTGTTTGATTAACTTTGCAAATTGCTGTTATGCTCACCTACTCCTATTACAATTCTTAGTATTATATCAAGTTTTTAGTTAGAACTGCTATTATTTTCTATTCCACTCATGATCTAGTGTGGAAAACTTGATCATGGTATTCGTCTCATCAATGCTATCAAAGTTTAATGAAAACTTTTGTTAGGGTTTCATCTGCTGTTGTTAGAGTTGGCCTTTTTTGCAATTCTCAAGTTTCCACCGTTACTATGAAGGGTGTAGGGTCTTGTGGCTCTTCTTGTCTTGTTAATCTTTCTTGTTGCAGCATAGGTATCTTAGCTTTTATTGCCAGTGTCAATAAGTGCACTATTTCCATGATTGTAAGGTGTGCACCAAAATGTTGAGTTTATGGAATACAGGTAAGTGTTTGATCCATAAATTCATTTGCTCTTTATCAAATTGTCACCGTGAATGTGAAGGTAGGACTGCGTACATTTAACTCTCGTCATGCTTCATAATGGCAGAATCCTCATGTATTGAGCTTCCATCAGATTGGAAATTTCTATTAGTAGTTAAGCCAGCCATGAATCTCCATTGAACATGATTTTTTGGGAGCTTGGGTAGCTAGGGAAAAGAACTACCCCAACTGCTGGATTACACAAGATTATCAACAAAACATCTTTGCGAACTGTATTTGGATCTTGCCGTCGTTAAGTGTGTATTAAAGTAATTGATTAATACTGATTCAAGGTCCCTCAAATGAGGTTTTATGCCTCACATACATGCTTCCCTTTCTTCTTGTCTTTCAAAAGAACCATCTTCTTTGATACAAAATTTTCCCTTCCTTCTCCTTTTTTTTGAAGTGAAATTTTTTAAGTACTTTCGTAAGGATTATATGATAAAAAAGTATAAGATAAGATGGTACTTTTAGGAATAAGATGACAGTTATATTATGGCTCAAGATGCAGATGAAATGACTGGCAGTGCACTACTAACATTAACATAGACACCCGGTAGTCAGCAGATGGAACTTACATATTTTTACAAAAGATATTGCCTGTCCTGTACCATAGCTGGATTTTTTCAATTTGATGCTAAAAAACTTGTTACCTAATTATTCATTGATTTTGATACAGTTAGAAAAGAACTAAAATGAGGGTCAGGTGGGCATCCATAACCAATTATTCCTCTGGCAAATCTTGCAGATGGCTGATTTATTGGCAGCTTACCATGTAGATAGCAATGGCATAATTATACTAGCATGTAATAATGATTCATATCATGGCTTTCGAATCTTAATCTTAATCAAGGATCAAAATATCGTTTCGAAACATCCGAAACGTTTCCGTTTTCAAGGAGACCGAAACGAATCAGTGATAGAATCGAAATTCTGATATTAAGAGGTATTCCATAATGTTTTTAAATGTATTAAAATATTATAATTATTTTAAAATGTTTTGAGGTATTTCAAGATATTTTGATATATTTTTATTAATGTTTTAGAAAAATAATTTTAAAATTTTTTATTTTTTTCATTATGTTTCTGAAACGGATCGAAACGTTTTTGAAACACGTCGAAACGTTTTCATTTTCTAGGTGACCGAAACAATACACCGAAATGANGTTATATTATGGCTCAAGATGCAGATGAAATGACTGGCAGTGCACTACTAACATTAACATAGACACCCGGTAGTCAGCAGATGGAACTTACATATTTTTACAAAAGATATTGCCTGTCCTGTACCATAGCTGGATTTTTTCAATTTGATGCTAACAAACTTGTTACCTAATTATTCATTGATTTTGATAGTTAGAAAAGAACTAAAATGAGGGTCAGGTGGGCATCCATAACCAATTATTCCTCTGGCAAATCTTGCAGATGGCTGATTTATTGGCAGCTTACCATGTAGATAGCAATGGCATAATTATACTAGCATGTAATAATGATTCATATCATGGCTTTCGAATCTTAATCTTAATCAAGGATCAAAATATCGTTTCGAAACGTCCGAAACGTTTCCGTTTTCAAGGAGACCGAAACGAATCAGTGATGGAATCGAAATTCTGATATTAAGAGGTATTCCATAATGTTTTTAAATGTATTATAATATTTCGATGCATTTGCACAATTATTTTAGAATGTTTCGAGGTATTTCAAGATATTTTGATATATTTTTATTAATGTTTTAGAAAAATAATTTTTAAATTTTTTATTTTTTTCATTATGTTTCCGAAACGGATCGAAACGTTTTTGAAACACGTCGAAACGTTTTCATTTTTTAGGTGACCGAAACAATACACCGAAATGATATTTTGATCCTTGATCTTAATCTTAATCTTTTATGGTTGAATAATAGTTTAGCTTAATAGCCCGATGTGTTGTATAGAATAATTTTGATATTCTTGCATGTGTGCTCTAGAGTTCTCTCTCTTTTCAAATTCATTGAGCGTGTCACATCATGTCAATTATATTTTCAGTTGTTTCATATTTCATCTTCTGCCTATTTGTGTTAAGGAACTTTATTTTACATCACTCCCCTAGAAAGAAATAAAGTGCAAGGATGTGCAGAAATTTAATCTATTATGTTCTTTCCAGGCGCATGTCTAGTATTAGTGCTTCCAATGATGAAGAGGCTTCTGCCAAAGCAGCGGCAGCCATTGCTGACAGTGGAGCTCCTACCATGTATCATACTTCTATTCTGCTGATGATGATACTGTTACTTTTTTTGGACATTCATGATATCATTTTTTGTCTATGTTATTTCGTGTTATTCAATTCGAAAAAGTTAAAGGCAACATTATTGCATTCCAACTCTCCAGTTCAGAAAAATTTCAACAAAGTTGAGAGTATATCTATAAATAATTGGAATGACTGGAAAAACATAAGTTAATCGTTGTCAAATTTTAGATTTTGAGATGGTTTAATGCACGACAATACATTCCTTTACAAAAAGACAAGCTCGGCTTTCTCCTCACTATTGGTTGTGATAAATTGAGATATGGAATGGCACAGTGGAATATACTTCCCTCTGTGCCTTTTGCTTCCTGGTTTAACACACCGATATGAAGTGTTTTTGTATTTAGAATGTTGTGCTTGTGTATTTGTATGATTATATTGTTTATCTTTGTCTGTTCTCATGTGTGTGTGTGAATTAAGTGCAGCGAGAGAGAGAGAGAGAGAGATCTGTGTTTTGAGACCGTAACTGCATAGCCATTGAGGGGAGAACAATTTGGAAGGATAAAACCGGAGTTATATTCCGACAAGAAAATTTTGAGATGATTCGAACTGAAAGCTTTGATCAAACTAAGAAGAAAAGGCATTGAAGAAGGAAAGAGAAAAGAAGTTTGCTACTATAATATTTCATCATAATAAAAAACTAGATACAAGAGACACAATATAGTAAACCCTACTACAAGAGAAAGACTATAATACCCCTAATGAGAAATAAACATAAATATAAATACAATTTTAATGCCCCCCTTAAACTCATGATGTGACAATAAGAAGTATTGAGAGTTTGTCAAAAAGAAAACGAAAACGCAACGTATTGTGCAACTTTGTGAAAAAGTCGGCCAATTGCATAGTAGAAAAAACAAATGGTACGAAAATAGTTCCAAACTGAAGATGGTGATAGACAAAATGACAATCAATCTCAATATGTTTGGACCTCTCATGGAAAACAGAATTATGTGCAATCTGAATAACACTCTTGTTTGTCACAACATATTGCAGTACAAGCAGAAAAAGAAACTCCTAGATCGAAAGGTGACCATCTTAGCCATAGTATCTCTGACGTAGTAGTAACCATAACGCGATATTGAGCTTCAACAATGGAAGAGCAACAAAGGGTTTGTTTCTTGCGTCCCTAGGAAATTAAGGAATCACCCAAAAAGATACATAGATCGGTTGTAGATTTACGGTCCATGGCATATGCCCAGTCAGTATCAGAAAAGACACGAAACTCCAAAGAAGAAGTGGAAGAGTACAACAAACATTGAGCTTTGATTAAACTAAGAAGCAAAGACATAGAAGAAGGAAAGATAAAAGAAGTCTCGTACTCTAATCGGTCAATGTGCCAACTAAGAAGCACAATTTCGTTGTTCAGGGACGTGTCCTGATGAGAAGAGCTAGAGCTTCAATGGGGTTATATGAAGTAAGAGGTATTAGTGAAGTGGAATAAGCTTAGTCTAGTGGATCTCTGACTTGACTTCTGATTAACCTCAACTTTTGTTGTGCTTGGTAACCTGTAGTTGGATCAGGAAAAGAAGAAATAAATGCATATTCAGTATGACTCATGTAATTATGTTGTTTTGTTTAAGACTTCAAACCTTCCAGGTTGCTTGTTTTCTACAATTTTTTCTCTGAAAGTCAATGCTGTTCTAATTATTTATGCTTTGCTTCCGCATCAGATTTGACAAGATAATTGCGAAGGAGATCCCTTCCACCATAGTATATGAGGATGAAAAGGTCTTGGCGTTTCGAGACATCAATCCACAGGCTCCTGTTCATGTGTTAGTCATTCCAAAGTTGAGGGATGGACTAACATCACTTGGCAAGGTTTTCTTTCTGTTTTCTTCTCTTGTCTGTCTGTTGAGCCAATAATCTTCTATTGAATGCTATATTCTCTTCATTTAGGACAAAGAGATATTTGCTGTGTGGAATAAAGGACTCCATAATTTACTTAATCCGAGCTCAGTTATCCGATTGTCTTGTGGTTTTGTGTAAATAGAGATGGAAAAAAGTCCAACACCATAATTAAACCCCCCCAACCTAATTGATTGATTTGGAAAACAAAGATGGAGGATTTTCTCTTTTGTACCAGCACATTGAGGGTATTGCACATAAGCTGAAAAGGTAGATGATAATGCTTTGCGTAAGCTAAGTAGGAAGACTATTGGACAATGATTGATGTAAGTGTTCCTCATTATATTATTCTTCATAGTGAGAATATAGAGGAGGCAATCACAAAGAGAAAAAGTAATGGAGGCAATCACAAAGAGAGAAAGTAATGGAGGCAATCACCAAGAGAGAAAGTAATGGTTAAGGTTTTTAGCTTATTCATCTTCTACCTAGGTGTCCCCGTTTGAGTGTTGTGGTTTTCTTCAACCGGTTGGTTCTTCTTGGACTTGTCGTTTGCAGGTGTGCTTGTGGTCAGAAAAGCTTTGTAGTCATTTTGAGGTAACCTTGGACTTACTCCATGCCTTCAGAACTTCGATAGATGACTTATATTACACACTGACGCCTTTTGGTTTAAAGAGTGCTGATGCTACTTATCAACATGCTATGACTGCGATTTTTCATGATGTGATGCATGAAGAATTGGAGGATTACGTTAATGACATAGTAGTGAAATCCAAGCAAAGGAAAGAGCGGGTGGAAGTGCGAGTCTAATCTTTAAAAATCATAGATCTTCCAGAGAAGACTAAAGCGAATGAGTTCACTCGATCCGCATCTGATCCTCCATTCTTTCTCCTAGATCGATGCAGAAAAGAAGTCACTTAAGGAAACATCCGGTGAATTTGCGACACTCCAGTACCAATGGACGTACTGAAGCCAATCCTTCATCCATTTCCTGATAAGGAACCTTGTAATTTGTTGATTATTGAGGATTACTTTTCAAACAGTAATCTTCAATAATCAACAAATTACAAGGTTCCTTGCCTAAAGATTAGATTCAAATCTTGAAATCAATACAACTTCAATGGAGTAAGCCCAAGGTTACCTCAAAAAGACTTTGAAGCTTTTCTCACTCGCTTTCTTTGTTCGAATGGTGCTAATCCAGTATGTTGCATTTGATATCCATTAGATGCTTGAATTGGATGCTGTTTCAGTTTTGCACAACATTAGTATTGAATATCATCTTCTGCGCTGAATACCCATTTTTTAAAAAACTAGGTGACGTTTGTGAAATAATTCTTATTTCTTTGATTGATTTCTTTTGAGTATATGATGTTCCTGTATATAGTCCAACAATTAGAGCTATTCGTGCATCTTGCAAATCGTTCCAGTAATGTTTTAAAATCCCACAATGGCCCAAGTTTTCTTGTCTTTAGCCTGAATTTTCACTTTTCTGCCTACTCCCAAACCTGACTTATTTCATCTTTACCATTTGGTTTGCACTTTTTCCTTTTCTGTTGCCTTAAATTTTACAACCCATGATATTCCATTTGGAGATGCCTACCATTTTTGAGAGAGCAAGGATATCAGATTGACTAAAGAAGTAATCTCAAAAAAGAGTGCATCTTTCTTGTCCCACTTTTTATGCATGCTTATGGATTTCAGTGCTATTATAGCATCCCTGGTCCACTCCTTCAACATATTATTTACTTAAATACCTAATCCGTGGTTGATAGTACCGAACGCTACATGTATTGTACAATATGTTTTGATACATGAAGAAAACAATATATATCACCCAACTATATTGGTTTTGCACCGTATCGTGTGATAAATGATACGTAATTGTCTGATACACTCAACTGCTTAAAAAAAATTATTCGGCTTTCTAATAGTGAAACAACTTCGTTTCAGAGTTAATTTTTTTAAAGCCTAGACAATGAAACAACGTCATTCCACAATAGGTCATTTCATTGTCTAGGGTATATAAAATGAAGTCCTTGCCCTACTATGTTCGGTTGATCGCAGAGACACATCTCTTGTCTTGGACCTTATAGTCTATTTATTTGTGTGGAATTTATGTTAAAATGAATTTTTTTTATGATATTCATATTATTTTAGACACTATATTTTTATATATTTATTGGTATATATTTTATTCGTATACCTTTTAAAATTAAGTTTATCATCCGGTACACGAGACGTTACGATACATGATACACTATTCTTGAAAAATGATACATTTTGTAATACGCGTTTTGACTACCTTGACCTAATCTATTACCTGAGAATCTGAGGTCATTCCAGGTCCCATATGGTTACCACTATAGCTCACTAATACTTCTATTCTAAAATTGTGTGACATTTGATTTAGTTAATTTTGTTTTAGCCAAAGCCCATGCCTTCTTCCCCTTGGAGCATACTTATGATAAAAGAGTCTATGGTATCAATGAACACTGAATTTGACTACTTGAGCTCTGAAACTAAGGCATAGTGGTCAAAGCAATAGCATTAGCCATTTCTACTGATGTGTCCAAACCAAATAGAACAATCTCAAATATTTCGAGGCTTTTGCCAAGTAGATTAAACAAAACTTGAAATATATGTGTTTAACTGTACTCATCTCCTAAATGATTTTACAAAACATTGTGCGACATTCTTTTTGGGGAATACTGCATGGCTATGTAAGCTCTCTTGACCAACTGCAATAAAACAGTGATAAACTTCACTTTTAATTGCCATGATAATNTACCCATTTTTTAAAAAACTAGGTGACGTTTGTGAAATAATTCTTATTTCTTTGATTGATTTCTTTTGAGTATATGATGTTCCTGTATATAGTCCAACAATTAGAGCTATTCGTGCATCTTGCAAATCGTTCCAGTAATGTTTTAAAATCCCACAATGGCCCAAGTTTTCTTGTCTTTAGCCTGAATTTTCACTTTTCTGCCTACTCCCAAACCTGACTTATTTCATCTTTACCATTTGGTTTGCACTTTTTCCTTTTCTGTTGCCTTAAATTTTACAACCCATGATATTCCATTTGGAGATGCCTACCATTTTTGAGAGAGCAAGGATATCAGATTGACTAAAGAAGTAATCTCAAAAAAGAGTGCATCTTTCTTGTCCCACTTTTTATGCATGCTTATGGATTTCAGTGCTATTATAGCATCCCTGGTCCACTCCTTCAACATATTATTTACTTAAATACCTAATCCGTGGTTGATAGTACCGAACGCTACATGTATTGTACAATATGTTTTGATACATGAAGAAAACAATATATATCACCCAACTATATTGGTTTTGCACCGTATCGTGTGATAAATGATACGTAATTGTCTGATACACTCAACTGCTTAAAAAAAATTATTCGGCTTTCTAATAGTGAAACAACTTCGTTTCAGAGTTAATTTTTTTAAAGCCTAGACAATGAAACAACGTCATTCCACAATAGGTCATTTCATTGTCTAGGGTATATAAAATGAAGTCCTTGCCCTACTATGTTCGGTTGATCGCAGAGACACATCTCTTGTCTTGGACCTTATAGTCTATTTATTTGTGTGGAATTTATGTTAAAATGAATTTTTTTTATGATATTCATATTATTTTAGACACTATATTTTTATATATTTATTGGTATATATTTTATTCGTATACCTTTTAAAATTAAGTTTATCATCCGGTACACGAGACGTTACGATACATGATACACTATTCTTGAAAAATGATACATTTTGTAATACGCGTTTTGACTACCTTGACCTAATCTATTACCTGAGAATCTGAGGTCATTCCAGGTCCCATATGGTTACCACTATAGCTCACTAATACTTCTATTCTAAAATTGTGTGACATTTGATTTAGTTAATTTTGTTTTAGCCAAAGCCCATGCCTTCTTCCCCTTGGAGCATACTTATGATAAAAGAGTCTATGGTATCAATGAACACTGAATTTGACTACTTGAGCTCTGAAACTAAGGCATAGTGGTCAAAGCAATAGCATTAGCCATTTCTACTGATGTGTCCAAACCAAATAGAACAATCTCAAATATTTCGAGGCTTTTGCCAAGTAGATTAAACAAAACTTGAAATATATGTGTTTAACTGTACTCATCTCCTAAATGATTTTACAAAACATTGTGCGACATTCTTTTTGGGGAATACTGCATGGCTATGTAAGCTCTCTTGACCAACTGCAATAAAACAGTGATAAACTTCACTTTTAGTTGCCATGATAATTGGATCTTGTATTGAATTGGGTTTTCAATATTTGATTGTATCTTATCACTTGTTAGGCTGAATCCAGGCATGGAGAGATATTGGGTAATCTTCTCTATGCAGCCAAATTAGTGGCAGAGAAAGAAGGTATCCTTGATGGATTTCGTGTTGTTATCAACAATGGTCCGACTGCATGTAAGTTACGATCACATTATCTTCAATTTCTCTCATTCCCCCCCCCCCCTCTCTCTCTCTCTCGTGCATGCAGACACTCAAACACACACAGCGCCCTGTTTGATTATCTAGGATTGGGGGAGAAGTCTTATTATACATCAATTCAACCAGTCAAAGATTCAATTTTTTGCTGTATTTTTGGCTATCATAGACTTCGATGGACTGACCAATACATAACTGTATTTGCTCTCTCTCTCTCTCTCTCTAGGTCAATCTGTGTACCATCTCCACTTGCATGTTCTTGGTGGGAGGGAGATGAAATGGCCGCCTGGTTAAAGATCAGGTACACATGCAGGACATTTTTTTCTTCTCTTTTCCCTTTTTCATGTTTCTTCATATTCCCATCTGTCCATTTTTATCTCGGGATCTTTTGTTCCAATGATTGAACTACCGTTGCTACCATAGAAAGATCGATGAATTTTCTGGGCATGTACTTGCAAATGAGGACTGTTTTGTTCAAATTTAAACTCTAGTTTATAATGTTGGCTGATTTGTACTCATCTATAAGATTTGTTTCCTAGAAGCATGCTAAACCAAATGTATTAAAACCGCATACATTAAAGATATAGTGTTCATAGGAGTCAGATTCTCCGATATATTTTTTCTTCATTTTCCTTCTTGGTAGATCAGCCGCCAAGTTAATATTGAGGGACTCACATATGTACAATGGGTCCCAGTCGGATTCATGTACTAGTTTACTGTGCCAGGCTTTTTGCAGTTGTGTTTTCTGACATAAAATGCTTGCTGCAGCAAATTGTTTCCTTAAACTGCCCAGGGACAAAAGGGCACACATTTTGCTCTTATTTATCCAGTAATAGATCCGATGACTGAAATGGAGATTCTTTGCCAAGGTATGGTGACCTTTAGGATACACTGTGCCCTTGAAGTTTCTATCAGTCTTCACAAAATTCAACTCAAGATAGCCTTATCCCAGTGATTTGGGGTTGGCTAAAATTCGGAAGCTATCATATTTTTTTTTTTACTATCTAATTAGAAGTTTATTTTGGTATTGTATATGTTTTAAAAGAGCTGTATTTTGGTAAATAATTTTGAGTCTTTCCACACAGTGAGATGCCTAGGTCTAGACTAAGCTATGAAGGTTAAAGAAGACAAGGAAAACTATTCATAGATAAGTGAGGCAGAATATCTTCTCTCAAAAAGAGAGGGAGTTGATTACGGTACCAAAAAAAATTTCAATATTATATTTTTATTTATCACATTTGTGGTTGTTTTTATTATATTTATGAGTGTTTTTATCACTGTTGTGGTACCCAACAAAATAGTAAAAATAGTTTTCAAAATAGTCATCTTTCCCTGTCGCCACCAATGAGGATAGTCTCCAACTCATTTTGTAGTATAATAGGTATCGCCTTAACCATCGACTTCTTGTCCCTTCTTTTATTTATGGAGTTTTTCATTGCAAATTTTGTAGTTAATACGATTTACCGAAGAACCATTTCTTTCTCTTTTCCTCTCACAATGGGTTTAGCTATGCTATTGGCGTCTTGCTCGGCACAAAGACGTAGAGTAGTGTTACTCATATTTAAAAAATTAGTCTAATTTGTTGACATAATGATATATCAAATGATCAAGTCTCAATGAAAAAGTTTAACAGTTACGGTCATAATAATTTTATTATATTGACACATTATTAAGTAAGCAAAGAATAATGTTATTGAAATTTGAAAAATTAACGTAATTTATTGATATAATGATGTTGTAGTGACAGTTCAACAGAATATTATTATTTGTTACATTATTATGTTGATAAATTAAATCAATTTTTTTGGGCTTCAATAGTATTACTCATTTGTTAGACCCCAATTTGCTTTCCCAACTAGCTACAAGACCATGTTTGTTAACCATTATTTTAGGCAATTCATAGAGTTTAGCTTTATAAATAGGTCAAGTAACGAACTGTTTTTAAGAAGCTGATCAGGAGGTGACTTTTAAATGAACTGCATTTAAGAAGCAATTTTATTTTTCAAAAAACGAAAAATTTAGGTAGCTGCGAATGAGTTTTTATTTGGTAAGGAAAAGTATTGTTTTTTGCTGTTAACAGGGTTTGATTTAGAAAAATCATTAAAAGGAGCAATTTTATCAGAATTGAACCGGTCATTGAACTGGTAAGGGGACTGAGTCAATGGTTCAACCGGTAGGTCAATTAGTCGGACTAATCATATAATAAAAAAATAAAAAATATATATACAATAAATATAAAACATAATAATTTAGCTAGAAAATATAAAATATGCCTAAAATGTATATAATTTGTCATAAAATTAATGAAGTTAAGTTAAAAAAACACATGTGCCAAATATCAAAGTTCAACTTTAAAACTCCAAACTACTAACACAGTCACATTAATTTCTTAAAAATTAACAAACTACCCATATAAAGTAGTAATCATAGAGTAAATCGTATTAGGACACTTACTAAATAAAATCAGAACAAAAGATAAATATAAACAAGTTTAATGACACTCTGTAACCTAAAATATTTTTAAATTTTTACTTTACAAATTTTTTAAGTTCAACGTTAATGGTCTCCACCTTTAAAAGAGTGGATCCACTAAACCCTTCTGCCTTCTCCATCTGGCTCAAGAATGAGGCTCAGAGATATGGGATGTTTCTGAGGGTGGTTTCCCCTCTCTGGAAGCCATTGATTTCACCAACCACAAAATCAACAGCCCTCCACCATTCGAACAACAACTAAAAAATCAACACCTCTCTCTCTCTCTCTCTCTATATATATATATATATATATATATATATATATTTATATGAGTGTGTGTGTGTATGTGTATCAGCAATCAACTTCCCAGGTGGGTGATGGGTTAAATCCCTTGGATTTCTTTCTCTTTGCTTTGTTGTTGTTGCTGGTTACTTACCCAAAAATAAAAACGTTATTGGTTGCTGCCTCAACAGCAGGGGAGGCCACTGTCTCATTGATCTTCCTCATTGAGAGCGGGTGGCAGGACAAGGAGCTGACCTCATTGATCTTCCTCCGGAGCTTCGGCGGCGACCCAGCAAAGACCGAGTTGAAGATGAATAGGCAGCGATTTGAAGAAGAAAGGCTGGAATTTAGGGCAAAAACGCTCAAAACAGATTTTTTTTTTTTTTAACAATTGCAATCCAACCCCGTCTGGTTTGAACAAACTATCCCGTTCACCAGATTCAGCAAAAACCAGCTGGTTTAACGGTTAACATCCGGTTCACTTGCCTAAGCGATTCAACTCAAGAACTGGACCGATCTATGCCCTAGTTCACGGTCCAACTGATCCGGTTCTAATAAGAGGATCTTGCTCAAAGAGTTTTTGAAAACAATTTTTTTATGTTTGCATTTTTTGTCCTTTTTTTCAAAACAGAGTAACAAAAAAAATGAAAACATTCACCGACACGTCTAAAAAAAAAAAATACAAAAACACTGTTACAGCACTCTATCGTTGACAAACATGATGCAGCTGATGATAATAGAATTGTTAACCCACAAATCCGTAACCCCCCAAAAAAAAAACAATCAACACCAAAAAAATAAAAAAAATGCAGAACACCAAGAAGAGGGGTCCTCAGATTACACACTTAAAGACACAAGCCAACTGAATTTAATTCCTTGCATCTTTTATACTATGATATACACAATCCAAGTACAATTACAACAGGAAATCATACTTCCAACTTCTATGACTATCAATGTATCAAATATGAGTACACTAGTCAAAAAAATTAACTAAAAACAAAAAGCATTAAAAAAACATCCTTATTACATGATGAACTGAAATTGTTACCCCATCTCTACTGAGAATAATGAACAAAATGTAGATGGCAGGATACAAGCCATGTTTCTAGCCATAATAAACTGTTGATGCCGCCTGATTACCCGACCAATGCCAACAAATGAAAGGTTCTCTTGACAAAGTATAGAGGATAACTTTATGATTTTTCTGATGGGAGTAGAACCAAATGTTGAATGTTGCACTATTACAGACATAAAAAAGAAGGCACAATTATAAAGTGGTGTGGATCCCTGACTGGTTCGAACAGAGACAAGAACAGTCTGGTTCAGTCAAGTCTCTCTTCACAAGTCGTTTGTCACGATTCATAATCAATTTAATATGGGGAAGTTTCAAAGATACTTGGCGCCAGATTTCATGCACAGTTCCGTTAGGATCCTCATACTCGAAGTACCGTTTCACCTGAATCACAATAAAAAACCAAATTGAGCTGCGAAACAAGAGACAAGATAGAAAGATACTGACAACAATCTGGTATAAAGCTGTTTCCATATATAGTGCAGAATTGGTAAATATATTCAGGATCAAGATTTTCAAAACGTGTATCTGAAGGTATGTCGTTTTTCAAAAATAATGTAAAAACAGAGAAAATTATCTTGTGTGTATCATCTTTTCAAGGTATACAGAGTTTTTCCATAGACTCATAACGCAAAATATGTATCGTAAAATACATATCATAAGATTCTAACAATTATGCTCAAACAAATATATTACATTGTAGCTATTTGAAAAGGTAGATATAATTCAAGTCAACAAAGCCTTATTCCAACTATATAGAGTCGGCTATAAGAATCTTGTTTGTTTACTATGTTCTAGGGTTACATGCGAAAAAAGAGTGAAGTGGTGTGGATTATGCTAAAACCACCTAAGTCGAGCGTTAATTTATCTCTTATTGATGTTATTCTTACAATTTCATCACTGATAACAACATATTGAGAATATTGAGAGAGAGAGAGAGAGAGAGAGATGTAATTGAATAGGAAGAGAAAAACCAACATCAATTGATTACAGAGTGTTACAAAGTAACACATACAGAATAGGGTGATGATCCTATTAACCCTAACTCACTAACACTCCCCCCCAAACTGGACTAAAGATATCAAATAGTCCTAACTTGGAACAAAGAATACCAATTTTATCTCTACTAAGTGACTTGGTGAAAATATCTGCCACGTAATCTACAGACCGTACAAAACACATAGTAATCTTCTTAGACTGAAGCTTCTCATGAACAAAGTGACAATCAATTTCAATATGTTTTGTTCGTTCATGAAAAACTGAATTCGAAACAATATGAATTGCAGCTTGATTATCACAAAATAATTGCATTGGAAAGGTTATTGGAATATCAATCTCATGTAATAAATTCTTTAGTCATATCAATTTACACGTAGTCTGAGCCATTTACCCTATATTTTGCCTCGACACTAGATTGGGCCACAATACTCTGTTTCTTACTTTTACAAGTCACCAAATTCCCTCC